CTGCTCACACGTTAGAAGTCAGTACAAGCGAATCAGAAGAAGAGGAAGATGACATCCCCCTCACAGGAAAATACACGATCACCTCTACCCTTGCCCTGACATCAATGTGTGGCATTCACTTGGTTAGGCCGCTTTCTGTTTGCTCAGGTCGTAGAATTATGCAAGATTACCCGGACTTTTATGTCTGTGACACAAAACAAGGAAAAGTATTCAAGATAACAGATGTTAAGCTCACTACTCAATGCAGTGGAAGTATATCCAGGATAAGTATATCGGGAACTATCTCCAGCAGCTGCAGCCAACATCAGTGTTGCTCCAGTGGCACTCGTCTTTTACCAAGAACGATTTTTTATTGCTAATGCGGACACAAATGAACCGGGTATTTGTGTCATACATGCTAATCGGGGAACTCTGTTGTCTACTATCACTTCACCCCTGATCTCAACTACTTCTGGAATGTGCCTTGCAGACAAATGTCTTTTCGTATCATGTGGGAATCATACCATCCTTAAAATTTCTAAGATAAACACAAATGTGGCGGTTGAACATTTTTCTGGAAAGTGTAACGAACCAGGCAATGAGGATAGCGTGGTCTCTTCAGCAAAGTTCCACTCTCCTCACGGTATTGCAAGCATGGGATGTTCCTTATTTATTTGTGATAGTGGAAATAAGTCTATCCGACTTGTTACAAACGCTGAGCTTTTGATAAAACTGTCATCTTTTGTCTATTCATACGCTCAGGTGTTTGACATTGACCACTATAAGGGAGCCACGAGATTTTCATGTCGTGAGGCAATGTCTTTATTGGACAAACTAGTCGAATTCTTAATGATGTGGGGCGAACAAACCAGGTAGAGGACCAGTCGAACAGTAACTCAAGGTCCCGACCAAGCGTTGTCATACACAACAAGAAGATCAATGGAGATGATGCATGGCAGCCTAACGCGACTGCAAAATTTTCTCTCCGAATTAGGTGCTAAAGACCTTCTAGCACAAACTAAATTCGATTGTCTGCGCTGGTCACCCGTATGGTTGAAAATTTTTTTTCGCTCATGAGACAAGAGGATCCCATGCCTACTCAACTCGAGTACGGAATTAGACGCACAGCCTGTGTAAGGGAACTGGAGAAGAGAATGTATCGTGGGCATTTCCACTACTTCAACGGGCCCAAAAGCTATTATCCAGACAAAGTATTGGATTCTCCTCCTCCTCCCAAGCCATCCATACCCCTAATCGAAGATCAAATGGAGAAACTATTCCTTAGCGACACAAACGAGTTAAGGGAATTCGCTTCATCTTTCGGGAAGAGTGTTCGACAACATACTGTCAGAGACAAAAGCAAAGAAGGTACTGGTCAATTGCCGTATGCAATATCGTTCTCATTGCAACAGCGTGAGCCAGGTTCAAATGTTGCAACTAGTACTCTGCTACAGGGTGACACTCAACAAGTACTTTGTCAGCAGTCCGTCCTTCATTGTGAAATTTTGTTCAAAGCAG